GGCAATACATTCATGACAGTCAGCTTTAGTGTCTGGTGGCACTCTCTTGCGGTGGATTCAATACCAGGGAATGGGTTGTTCATCGAATGAATTTTTAAAGTAGTCCCGCAGACTTGAATTAAATCGTCACGAATTCTAAAGAAATCGTAATCAATAATATACGAAAAGGCTTTGAAATAGGAGATCAAATTACCTGCAGGTTGATATGCTCAGTCTCTGCCAGGTGGTTTATCTCCTGTTGTTGCCGGTACAATTTATTAAGTTCTTCTTCCCTCTTGTGGTCTTGACGTGCCAGCGCAATATTGAGCTCATTAAACCTGGAACACAGACGACAAGAGCAATCGACGTTCACACAGCACCTTTCGCGTTGAAAGGATATTTCAAAGCGCTTCATACACGCGACTGGGCATCTGAGCTGGGGTGGGGCGGGTAGTGAAAAAACACTGACGTTAAAGCGTGATTGAGGAGATGAACCGAACTATATTGCAGTGTATAAAAAAACTATAGTTTTCTTTCAGTTAACAAATGCAGCTGAGTGCAGGGTTACCTGGTCTCGAGTCTCTACTGTTGTGCATTTTGTTGGCCAATGCAACAGCCAATTTGTGCGCAGCAATGTCCCACAAAAAGCCAGACAGTCGCGGATTGAAAATGATCAATTTATTATTGTTTTGTTTTATAGTACCATGGGATCTTTTAATATCCAGCTGAACCGGCAGACAGGACCTCAATTTGACATCTCAGCCGAAGGACAGTACCTCCAAGTGCATTGAGTGCATTGGAGCATCAGCCTGGACTCTACGAGTTAAAATCCTGACGTGGAGCATGAATCCACAATCCAAGAGTTCTACCAACTATGCCAGGCTGACATACATGTACTTATCGCCCACTGATAATACACAGTGCACGTGTCAAAATATAATACAAATTAAATGGCCACTACTCAATTAACTTGGATAATTATCAAAATCTTTTATAAAACATCCCATTTTCCACTCTACTAAGTTACCTCTCAATCATGTTTTGCTCCAGAGTCCTCTTTTCTGAATCAAGTGCAGCAAAATTATTCCTGATGTAAGGCAGATGATCTTCCAATTCTGAAGGTCTACAGATTTAACCAAATCTAAGTGTTAGCTATATCAGAGTTACATAAACATATCTGTAGATAATAATAATCCTTGCATTTGATACAGCGCCTTATCACGTCGTTGAGATGTCTCAAAGCCCTTCACAGAATATACTGTAAAGTGAATGACTGTATTTTGTGAGCGAAACTTGGCAGCCAATTGCCCACAGCAGATAATATTAGAGTAATATTATACCATTTAGCTGAGGAGCAATCAATTTGAAAGGTGCATCTGTGATTTGTTACTATAGATAAACGCTTAATAAAAAACAAGTTCTAACTTTAAAGCCTTACCTATTTTCTGAAGCTGGCTTCATTGGTGCAGTTGACCACTCCACTTGTTTTATTTCTGGTGGACGGTGCACAGTAGACAACTGCAAAATATATAATAATCTGATCACTTAAAGCACCTCGCTTGAGTGTCAGGAGAGAGGTCTGATACTCTCGGGCCAGATATGATGATTTGAACCCAGAAACTTCTCACTCAGAAGCGAGAGTGCTAGCAACTCAATGAGGATGACACTTTACAGATATCTAACATGGTTTGCATTCTACCTCTAATGGGTGGGTCAAGCTATGAATTGTGGAAACTATGCTTCACCTGACTTTCAATCAGATTGATCTCGGAATCTTGCTGTTTCTCTTTATCTCTTGCCCGTCTTGCTTCTTTCAACAAATTCAAAAGCGTTTTATCAGTCAGGCCTCTTTGTCTCTGAACATCACGCACCTCATTCCATAATTCTGTTATACTGTAAATCACAAAAGCCCACAACACTTCAGGATAGTAAAACTGAATTAGACTGCATAGCAATTTCCAAAGCATGGAGAATTTCCTTATTTTATTCCATGTGATCCCATATTGATGTACTTAAATATTCAGAAAATTCATAGAGATGGTAAACTATCCATAGAAATATTTATTGCGGTGCACAAACTGGCTGCCAGTTCAGTCTACAAAATACATAGTAAACCCTGTGAAACTCTTTGAGATGTCCTGCAAACTGAATAAAATGAAAGGAATATAAGATATATATATATATACGCTCTGAATTTTTAAGGTCTGCTAAAATAGCTCATTCAGAATGAAGAAAATATCCTATGAACAGTAAAACTTCTGTGACACTAGCCCACAAAAACACATTGTCTAGCACTGCAGAGATCAAAAGAAAATGTTTGTCATCCAAACGCAGCAGGAAATCTCCCTAGGATAAAGTCAACACATTTGGAGGCTGTTTACTAATGGAATGTAGATATATTATAACCAACGAATGCACTACAGAGTGAATGATGTTACCACCACCCACACAGACATGTGCACTTTCCAGGCGGGCTACTGGAGAGTAAACAGGAGCATGAACCTTGTGCTGCTCGTTCTCCCACCCCCTCCCTGTACCAGGTGCATTCAGGCCAATTGTAGAACCTCAACTGGTGCTTCTGCTGATATCAGCAAAACAGAATAGAAATCAAACCTGTAACCTTCTGGTCAGTGTGACTTACTGCAACTGGATAATGCCTTTACCCAGACTGTCATTGAGGGTGGGAAAGGGAAGGGGAGTTTTGTACTGTACTTCACATTAGTTCTGTTCATAACAATTATCTCACCTTTGCTGATAATTGCGTTTTTGTATCTTCATGTCTTCCTGATGATCATAAAGTATCATATCGAAATGACTTGTACGATCCAATACTGCATTAAATGCGAGTTTTTGGTTGTAGAGCATGTTTTCTGCCTCCCTTAAATGAGTCACCATCTTTGAAATCATATTGTTGCTTGCTTTAATATGGTCCACAATATCCAACAAGTTCTCATGATCTCTCCTGCAGTTTAGAGTTTGCTTTCGGAATGCCTGGAGTTCATCTTGAAGCGACGCTAATTCCTCCTGCAGGACTTGATTTGCTGTTTCCACTGTTTTTATTCTATGTTCCAACAGGTCTGTCCTTGAAGTCCTTTTATCCAGGATCACAGTCTCATTCTGGAGAGAATGCTGCCTTTCCTTTTTGGGTGTCGAACTTTCAAGGCTTTGGTTGGGATAGGTACAAGGAAGAAAACACTCAGAAGGGGAATATACAACAACAATGGCCTTGAAAGAAAAAGTTAAGAATCCGAATCAGATAACCAACAGGTCAAAAGGAGTTTCTAGCCCTAACATTATACCGGAACACAAAATCTTCTGCAGGGAGTACTGGATGGATGCCCTGATCAGACTCAAAGGACCCAAGGCTTCAGCTTCAACTTCCAGGAAAACCTCACTCATATAAGCCGTATCAATCCAGATCATACATTTTATACGACTTATGCAAAGCATGAGTTATGCCAAACTTGCAATAAGTAGTATCCTATGCCTTATGTGTAAGTCGGATTTTATACCACTTTCACGTAACACACACAAGTACAGTAGGAGTTGACTCAAGAGAACTGCCTTAAAGAGGCTGAACTTTTAAGACAATTATGAGCCAAGTGTACATCCCACAAAGTCTCCTTTAAATATATATATATATATGAAATGTCTCGGATGTAAAGTTAGTTCACAAGTGGATTGCATTGACTAGTTGTTATTAAACTCAAACAACAGTAATACACTAAATGCAGCAGTGACCCAGCTGTTGTGTAACCCTGTGTGTGTGTGTGTGTGCACTCTCCCTGACTCTCACACGGGGTAAAACAAGAGTCATGATGAAATCAACCTGGGGTTGTCCATCCCCAGGGCAAGAGGGCAGCCCCAACACATTTACAGTCTTTCCCAGAAAGAGCCATTCAGATGCATTTAGGTCATTTCCATCCGTCACAGAGAGACAGACACACACAGACACAACAACAACAAAAACACAAATAATCCCTGCCAACTCTCCATAGCAACCAGGGTCCAGGTGAGATGCTCCAAGAGATGAAGGGGACACTGGTCCTTGTGTGTGGCTGAGGCTCAGTCAGTCAGTCTGGGTGCTGCAGGGACAGTGAGGACACCATGCATCCATTAACAAAACATCTGGTTACCTGCCCCAGCTCATAACGACCAAGGTCTACCCCCCCTCCACCCCACCCACACACCCAACCAGTCACCCCCCCCTCCCCACCCCCCAGCACGTCACAGTCCTTCCAGCTGTAAACGTGGGAAAGTGACTCAGGGACCTTTATAAAGACTTGGGATCACACATTGACTTACTCACTCACTCACTCACATCTACTTTCTTCTCTCTTCCAAAAAGGAGCAATTGTCCTCTTGGCAGTTGGCTTCAGTCACCACCACCATCCAGACAAAGGTTACTGTAGAAATCCTGCTGTTTTTTCTCAAAAAAAAATTAGAAATAGAACTGGTCGTTGCAACAAGAGGTCCTTCTCTCTCCCAGTCTCAGTTTGTGTGTGTGGGGTTGGGGGGGTTTTTTCTGTAAAAAGCCCAGATTTCTCAACAACTCAATGCCCCAGACTTGGTTGGAAACCATCAGTGCTTTTGAAGGTATTGTTGAAATAACCTGCCATATAATAATAAGCAGCCAAATCCAATATCACAGTACTCATGGGTTTGAATACCTAAAGCAAAATGCAGATGTCTCCAAAAAAAAAAACCCTGGCACAGTTGCAAAACTTTTGCCAATGAAGATAAATGGGGGCAGGCAGAAAAAGAAAAAAGTTTAAAGCTTTATTACTGCATAAAACCAATTTTCAGATCTAATATATGATCAGGATTTGGCTGCAAAAAGTGACAAATACGAAGGCAGGCGTTTTCCCCAAACTTGGTGTGTATTGGCGTGTGCCACAACAGATTTGAGTTGAAAATCTTCACAGCGCGAGCAAATGGGTGTTCAATGGGCAATGAAGTTCCACAGAAACGATTCGAAGAGCTGATTCGAGAAAGTAAGCGGTTAAAAAGTTGTTACTCAATACAAAAACACTTTTAAGTTTTATTTTTCATTTTCAATGCATTGTTTTGTCAATATAAGGATTTTTACTTCAACGATACAGTAGGAGTTGGTAGATCAGGTTCAGAAATATAATTGTGTTCAATGGCCCGCCAATGGTGGTACAATTTCATACACATGGAGTGAAGTGAATCGCATCGGATTTTAAATAAACAGGATTTATTTCAACAATCGGCCGTTGTCTATCCAACTGTAAAGCGTCCATCGTGATGTTATTATTATTCATTCTAACCTGGGCCACAGATGAACTGTTCAATTACTGTTCAGAAAACAGGTACAAGCTGGTGTTCATTACATTTGCTTTTACAAAAAAAAAGACATCTTCAAAATTAAAGATTTAGCCGAGAAAATCAACTGCCGATCAAGTCAATCAGGAATCTCCCAACAAGATTTTGGAATGTGGAAATACCCTTAGGGAATAGGGTTTAAATGCAGTCCAGACCGTTAGCATGAAAATCTGGTCTTTGCTCTTTGAATGTTAAACGTCCTATTGTGATTGAGATCGGACTATTTCGCAACACAGTTTTCGGTGGCTGTCCCACAGCAACAAAAATGTTCCTAAACGCAAAGCACACAGAAGAGGTGGATTTTCAAGGAAAAACTAGTGTGGGAAATGGAAATTACAGTAGGAGTGTGCTTCTGATTGTGATTAAGGCACATTATTGGGGCACATTAGAGGGAGCTTTACTTTGTAGCTGATCTGGAAGTGCTTAAAATAGGTGGCCCAAATCAGAAACTCTTCCTTTTTTTCCCAGCACTAACAGGCAATGTCTTGATAACCAAAACAAAAAACTGAAAAAACATCCAAATGGCTCATACAATCTATTCCCACAAGTCATCAACAAAGTGCAACATAGATACTCACATACACACACACACGTGTAAAATTATCCATATGCGAGAATACTTAAGCTTTACAAAATTATTACTGCCAGCACAATGGCATCAAAGAAAAATAAAGCTAGAACATACTTTGTAGATTTACCACCATATTGATGCTTTTAATAAGAACGGAGCAGAATAAAACAATCACTAAACTAAGAGTGGTCAAATCAGGCAGTCATGGTCAAAACAATATATACTGTGACTGGTTATCGTCGCTTTGTAAAACCTGGTTTACTTACTAAAAACACTCCATGGTATTGGAATCCGAACATCCTTTATTAATTAACTATTGGCGCCACTTGTTCTCTTTAGTTTGCAGGCCGGTTGATAAGCCTCCAACATTTTACTAATGTTAACATTATTTTTGATAAAACTTAGAAATATTTTAAGGATTTAACAGCAGTAAATCCAAGGTGTGAACATCTCATTCAGCACCGTAGTGTTAAGCCAATTACTAATGCGATAAAATCTCCATAGCCATAGAATTTCATTCACTGTTGTCCATTTCCACCTCCTGCTCAATGATTCAAATCCTAAAAAGCATTTGAATCTCTCTTGCATGACACTTTGACAACCTTTAAAATCCCTGATTTAAAACAAATATTTAAAAACACGATGCCCAAGGTTATACAAATCATTTTTCTTAAAATGCTAAAAAAAAATGCTAGGCGTGTTAATTTACAGACATTGTGTTAAGTGCTTAGATTCCAACTCAAAAGTGTATGCGGGAATTGGAAAATCTCTCGTCGAACTGATAAGATTTTTTCCTTTTATGGCACTTGTGGATCGACCTTCATTCCTTCCACCAACACCTTACGTAGAATAGCAGCAGACTTTCCCAAAACATAGCAAGTCACCACACGAACAGTTCTGGATCAGCTAAACCATACAGGAGTGTCTTTGCCCCTGTATTTGCCTTCATGCTCACTGGAACCAAAGTTTCATCACGACGCAGAAAGAACATAAAAGGTGGCAAACTGTGCAAGTAGAATATGCATAGTTTCTAATCCAAAAATATATTAATTTAAAGACTATACACTTTTAAGCTTTACAAAAGAAACTACAGTGTAAACAGTGAGAGTCAATTTCAGCACAAGTAGTGGCCCTCTATTTGGGATACTTTGTACAGCTATCCTGGTGCATGAGGCCCCACTGATACGCAGTGCAATAGAATGCTGGATGAAATGAGAAGTTTTAACTAAAATTTAAAACAGCTAAATCTCCAACAGAAAATATCATCTGTTTATAGACACTCAGTGTGTGAAAAAAAATCATGTTTGCGCCATTTCGAGCTCCTCGAGTTGTCCTTTATGCAAACGATATCTGGCAAGATCCTTTCTAGTAACAATTCCAATCACCTACATGAAAATAAAATAAAGAAACACCGTTATGGAAGTCATCGTAAAATAAAACACGGCACCTTAACAACATGGCAAAGAGCTTCAGAACATAATGTGCAGTCGAATTCAAACAAAACAAATAGTATTTCTACATCGTGCGGATTTATTGAAGTACTGCCATTAAAAGTTTAAGCAGCTGCCAAGATTGTTCAATAGAAATGCTAAACAATGCAGTTAAGACTATACTAAATATTTCAATGCAATATAATCTTTTGATTACAATTCTCCAAACCCTTAGTCAACATTCGTTTTTCAACATTCTAATAATTTCAGAATAATCTAAACCATTTCTGAACTTCTAATGTAAAAAGTATGCAATCCCTTCATTGCCACTGTATTACATTTCCAAAATAATAATTTGTTTTACAAAAGAATAAAGGCACTCACCTTGTTCGAACCATTGCATATCACCAAATGTCTCAAGCCCAGAGCACGGAATAACCTAAAGGCCCGAGGAAGAGATGCCTCCTTTAAAAAGGTAAAAGAAACAAATTAACAATAAGAGTTACGGAGAAGTAAATCACAAGTGCATTTCTGAGCTCAATTATTGGCCGCTTGACCTGATTCACTAAAAACTAAAACTTTGAACTGCTAGATTTAAGCTTAGCCAAGAAATCATTATTTGCCAAAATATTGAGTACTCGGTAGGGATTTAGAAGCGTTAATCTACTCCCAAGTTAATATCTTGCATCATTACCCCAGGTACACTATATGGAGTTGGGTTCATAAATTCTGTCAGGTCCACTGTACAATTTTGCTCATCCTGCGATACGTGAATGGACTGGATGGGGGGGAATCGTGGGTAGGCATCGCGGAAGTCCTTTAGCTGAAGTTTCCGTTGGGTGAGGTTCGTGTTTGCCCTTTCCACAAATACCTGAAAACCATAAAAGCAGGATCTGAGCTAAAAACAGTGAATATGTTGGTGTATAATACACAGGAAAACTTGGTTGTGGGATTATAATTATGTGGAATAATTTAAATTGGCATTAATGCATAGTTCTGTCCTTTAAACACCTTATAAATGAATAATCCCAATTCTTAAATGTTTGAAAATGTTCCTCTGAATCTTTGCCTTAGAAAACTGCAGAGATAAGGACTGCTATGTGCTCTTATACTCTTATAGTTCAGGAAATTGAGAGCTAAAGATTGCAATACTTGTCAAAAAAGTAGTATTTGCAAAGAGTGTAAGATTACCTTATGTTTTAGAAGCACAATCAACTGTGACCGTAATATTAACCCACAGAGTCTTCCAACGTTATCTTCTTCGGGCTGCAAAAGGAAATTTCCAAAAAAAGTTTAATATTTTTCATTATTACCTACACACCAAAGCCAGAAAATATAACTACTTCCCCTTTCATAAAATGAGGACGTTCAGAATGGTTTCCAAACAATTAGATGCTTGATAGTTTCATGGCTGTTGAAACTAGTGGAGAGAGAATCGAAATCTGCATTTAAAAAAAAATTGATCTAGTTACCTCTTCGTTCTCATCTACCACAGGAAATCCATTGTGGTTTGTGGACGTGTCACTAAGAATTTCCACTATGCGTCCAACTTTCTCTAGTCGCTTGAAGCAAGTGACTGGGTAACTCATCACCTCGCTAAAATCCAAATATGCAAGGTTACTAAAAACACATTTATGCAGTAATATTTTATGTTTTACATGCATTAAAAAAAACAGAATTGGGACTATTCTCTCTCCCACCACACCACCCCCCCCACACCCCACTTGTCATAAACTACCTTTAAACCCCAGGATTTAAAGTACAGGCATTGTAACTGTTTGAATCCTGTGAGCAGAAGATAGCGAATAAGCTATTTTCTGCTTGTGGGATTCAAACAATCTTGAGTCAAAGTCGATATCCTTGGCTGCTGTGAAGGCCAACAAGGATGATAAGGCTGCTCAGTGCGGCATTACATACAGCCCCGCAGATTTTTTTTAAAAAAATGTAGATTTTGGAACTGGTCTGGCTAGGTTCGAATTCCGACCACTTGGATCCAGGGGTTTACTGTATGTTGACAGATTATGTAGTAAACCACAGCTGTATACAACACAAAATAAAAGCAATGACAAACTGAAGAGTTTTAAAATATGATTTTTCTTTAAAACAATATTCCTACCGTGCGGTTAAAGAATGAGATGTGCCAGGAGGCTCCCAGCCAAGGAAAGGTACACTCTGCAACTTAATGTGAATATCGTACAATCCCTAAAAATAAAAGAATAAGCAACAAACCATTTCAAGAAGCTTTGTGACTGAAGACTTAATTATAGGAAAATGACTCAAAATATTATTGATTTGCCGTTTCAAGCATTTTCAGTGAGAAGCTTAGTTACAGTCTCTGTCACGCTCACTGCTTAACCACTCTGTCAACTCCGTCGAAAGACAGAAATAAAGACAAGGGATAATAAACTCAATGCTGATTCTATGTAACTGTTTGCTTCCCGGGCAGGGCAAAATGTTGGGCAAGTTTCTGTATGCCACACGTCTCTGTTTACCTAGCAGTAAGTAGGAACCCAGTTGTTAGTCGATCGGTGGATCGTTTTTCCAGGGATAATAATCCCTTCATAAAAATAAAATAATAATTTGGTCACTTAATCCATGACTGTTTGGAATGCTGCTGTGCACAATTGGCTGCCACACTTCGCCCACAAAATATACAGTCAATTCACTTTTTGGTATATTCTGTGAAGTGCTTTGAGATGTCTCAAAGATGTGATAAGGCGCTATATCAAATGCAAGGATTATATTATTATATTTGTACAGCATGTATGGCAGTTGAACAAGTACTGCCTGCTTTTAACATCCATTTTAACTCCAATAGGACTATAATAGGAAGTAGTTTTAACCATTTTTTAAAAGAGTTTGATTAAACTCCTACATAATTATTTTCACAGCATAAAAATGTTGGGACGTTAGACTAAATTCATTACACAGAATCAAGGCCTCAGCAGTTGGCTTGTGTCAAGTATTCAGCCTCATGATACAATTTTCTTTTAATAGAGAGGATTGGACCTTTCCCAGAATAAACACAAAAGTAAGATGCCTGTCGTTTTTTCCCAATTGTGGGTTTTGATTTGCATGGAGGTAATAGCAGGATAAGTACTTACATTATTCTAGTCCTTTAGTGAAATTCAAAAACCAGGTAGGCTTAGGCTCACCAATGGTCTTGGCATTGAAAACTTTACAACCCAAACTCCTACATTTGTTAATTATTTCACAGCATGAAAATGTTTGACCGTAGACTAAACTCATCTGTTTAATGCTGGACATTCTTTTTGAAACATTAAAGTGTTATGGCTGTGCGTTACTCTAAATAAAAAACCTGATATTAACCACTGAAATTTGTTGTCGTGACTGTAGAGTTCCTGTTCTTTCGGCCAGGTTAATTCTCAGATGAGTTTTTAGTTCTCAGATGAGTTTCTAGTCCTGGTCTCAATCCCTCTTCCTTGTAACCAGCTTTGTACCTCTGTGTAATAAATACTTCCCTGTTATCTGTCCTAAGATCGCCAATATAGCACTGCAATGTGGCCACCTGCTTCTGATAGCTTTTTTGAATGAAAAGGGAAATAAAATATATAGGTATTGTTTAAAATCTACTAAATGCTGAATACTCACCCAAATGGTCATGTTTGACTGCTGGGATTACCTTTCACACAAACCCACTTGCCTCAGCTGCCACATACAACCAGTAGAGGCTGCTGTACCTGCACCAGGAACAGGAATCCTGGCGAGTTTTCCCCTCCCTAACCCTGAAATTGACCAGAGCCAATTTAGTCTCCCCAATACCAGGAGAGTCAGCGTACAACAACAACAACAACAACAAGATTCCATTTATAGAGCGCCTTTCACGTCAGGAGGACGTCCCAAGGCGCTGCACAGTTTGAGCGTAGTCTGAGATTTGAATCAGTGAGCTCCTGGATTGTGAGCTACAGCTTTATTCACTATATTCATGAAAGGTTAATTAGGAGGAATCACTTTAGTTCTCAAACAATTATAAAAAAAACTAGGTTAAAAGCAAATTACCTCAATAAAGAAGTCTCCAATAATTTTGGCAGTCATTAACACCAACATGATGGGAAGCCCATACGTCACATTTCCAGTCGCCTCCACCATGATGACCGTCAGACTCAATGTCATTCGTACAATACCTCCTGCCAGCGGAAACCAACATGTCAGTGCATTTCAAAGCATGTGCACATGGTTGTCTACTATCTTGAAAAAACAGATGACGTCGAGATCTCCCAGCTACACCACCAGTTAGTGATGTTGAAAAGAAAATATAACAAAACTCATAAATAGTACTTTCCCTTTTCAGAAAAAAGGCGCAGATCATCAGCAAGTTAGCTGTGTTTTTCAAAATATGCTTAATCCCTCCATATGATACGGTCTGCTGTTACATTAGGAGCAAAGAACCATGGCAAATGGTAGATATTTCAAGCTTGATAAATTCAGCTGAAATGTAATACATGCCAGTGATGCTGCTGAATCGTTTACGAGATCGTTTCCAAGCACTGAATGGTCTTTGTTCAAATATATGTTGAATACAAAGACTCAAAAGTTATTTCCCCATCTGCTGGTTGCACTTGCCGAGCACTCCAGCAAAACTTCACAAAAGCAGACTTTGTGCAACGCGGCACGTCTAATTGTTATAGGACAAATGAAACTTGCTTGCACACTGAATCAGCTGCCAATAATTCAACTCGCACTACGATTGAGGAAGATCACACAACTGTTCGAGTAATTTGTTTTCCATTTCAGGAAGGACAGCAGGAAATAAGTCTGATATTGCCACACTATTACTGGAAACTCTAAGTTTCCAACATGCGGATGCTTGACCAAGAACAACACTTACCAAGCTGAGCTGCAGCTCCCATCAGTGCATATTTGCCTGGGTCAGCCCATGTCTGCAAAAGGTTCCAAAGAACAAATAGATTATTTCATTGAAAAATCTGAACTTTATAAATACATCATAAACATTTATCAATAAATGTTCGAGCTGACCTTTACAGATATTGCAGACACAGAAGCTAACCAGGACTCAACCTCTTCCTCTTCACATAAATAACATTGATTTTATGACTTTTTTGAAAAAAACACCGTCTCTGAACAAGGAATGAGTACGCAGCGAGTTGCACTGCACTGCTGAATACTGAGTGCTACCTTTAGCTCAAAGCAGAATGCAGAGTAAACAGAATTATTCTTTACCAGAAACCGGAAGGGCAACAATTTAAATTCATAAAGTGCCTTCACATCAAGGGAATGATTCAAGAAAGTGCCTCACAGAGATGACAGGGAGATGAAGCTCCGGAAGAAGGGGAGGTGGGCGGCGGTGGTGGGGGGTGGGGGGGAGGAATTAAAAATTCAAATATAATTTTTTCTTTAGAAAAATCCAAGCATTATATATTATTGTTAAAAGATACAAATAAAAAGCCACTCACAGAACCTCTCGTAACTGTAGAAAGAAATATTCCAAACAATCGTCCCCATGCAGACCCGATCAGTAAAGAGGGAATGAAGATTCCACTGGACACGGCCAAACCATACGTCCAGCAGGCCAGAATAAAGTAACTCAACGTGAACAAGCCCAGCGTCAGAGGATTGTACGAACCTACAAAAAGACAGGTTGCTCAAGAAAATAAATTCTGTGCTACGAGGTCGACTGACGTCTACATTGTTTTGCACAGATTCGGGGTCAAATTAACATGAGGTTTGTTTTTTTATTAAAAAAGGAAGGTTGAGGAAAAAACAAAATGTCAGTCCAGCAAGGCAAAATGGCGACTTGTGGGGCATCAGATTGCCGCTGGCCTCAGAGATTGACGACTAATGGAATTTCCCATAACGATCCCGATCAAAAGAGGCTGATCTTCTCTAGTTACATACATTTTACAGAACCCCTGCTGTTTTGCGCACAAAATCAATTTGTCCAGAAAGTACTCAATGTTTTTTCTCTGTCTCCCCCACCCCACTCATAAACTCCTAAAGTGAGCAGTGTTCAGCCATTACTAGTACAGACAAGCTTTTAAAATGATTTCCGCAGTTTCCATGATGGTCCGCAGAGACCATCTAGCCGAGCTGTGTCGGGTCAATCACTTCCATATCGAAAAAAACATCTGGTGCGCACGGCTTCCTGTGTTTCAAAGTTGAAGGACTGGCAATTGCATTTGAACTCAAAAGAGTAAGTAGTTCTTAAAATTGTGCATGGATGTAAATTGATATAGAGTATAACAGATCGGTAAATACAATGAGAGCCAGAAGTACACATAGAATTGAAATGGAGCAGAAAAATACAGAAGCAAGTCTGGGAGTGGATGCGTCACCACAGATAATGTGGTGAAGCAATGAACGAAACCAGTAATAGTCACAATAGTAATAATAATCCTTGCATTTGACATAGCTTATCACGTCTTCGAGACGTCACAAAGCTTAGAATGCCAAGGTTGACTTGTTTCTGCGTTATCAAATAAGCGTTTTTTGAACTGCACCAAAATCTTAATCCAATTCACAAGAAGTTACACCAACACCTTTCAAACTCACCTGAAGGATCGTGAAACAGACTGCGCACGCTGCTTTCAGGAGTGTTAAAGAATGCTGTGGCCATTGCATTGTACTCGCCATCTGGGCAGAACAGCTGAAATAATACATAAAACCTGGTTAGACTCTGTCATTCTGAAGGACCCACAAGTGTTTATAGATACAGCACAATATACACAGAAAACACTGAACAGAGATTATACAAAATACTTAAAACTTTTATCTTGAAAATAATCTTTTTAATAGTGTATTACACGGACACATGACACTTTTCAGAAGATGGAACAGTATGGATTCTGATGTTACATAGCAGAGCAAGGAAAACACTTGCTTGAGAAGATGTCAGAACTTACTTGGAGTGGATATTTAACAGGGTCTTCTGCAATAGGCTGACAGTCATAGGTATACATTGCATAGATCATCACAAAGGAAACTGTAGCAGTCGCAGCTCCTACCAAGGTAGCCTCAATCACTTGCAAACAAGGATGGTGAATGTACCTTTTTTGACCCCAAAAAAGCAAAGAGTTAACCTCTTATCATTTTCACTTATGTAGAAAAATCTCGTATTAAAGTACATTCTCTTATTAAAGTACAAGCCTGTGCTGGACAGTCACATATTTCTGGTCCAAGCTCTTCCCTCCCCTTTTATCTGCAACAACAACAACAAGATTCCATTTATAGAGCGCCTTTCACGTCAGGAGGACGTCCCAAGGCGCTGCACAGTTGGGTCATGACCCGAGCAGGGGGGAAATGGTCAGGGTGAGGGGAGGGAAGGGAGGGAGAGAGGAGGGGGAAATGGTCAGGGTGAGGGGAGGGAAGGGAGGGAGCGAGGAGGAGGAAGAGAGTCGAGAGGGGAGCTGAAGGCACGGTCAAAGAGAAAGGTTTTGAGACCGGCCTTGGAGGAGGAAAGGGAGGAAGCAAGGCGAAGGCACTGGGGGATGGAGTTCCAGAGCCTCGGGGCTGAGAGGCTGAAGGCCCGACCACCGATAGTAGGGCGGTTGGGGCGGGGGACGTGGAGCAGACCGGAGCCAGAGGAACGGAGGGTACGGGCAGGTAGGTAGGGGGATAGTAGGTTGGAGAGGTAGGAGGGAGCAAGGCCGTGAATGGCCTTGTAGGTGAGGATGAGGATCTTGAAATCAATCCTCTGGGGGATGGGGAGCCAGTGGAGGCGAGCGAGGGTGGGAGTGATGTGGTCCCGAAGCCTGGTGCGGGACAGTACACGAGCTGCAGAGTTCTGAATGACCTGCAGCTTGTGGAGGGAGGTGGCGGGAAGGCCGGCGAGGAGAGAGTTCCCATAGTCCAGCCTTGAGGTGACAAAGGCGTGAACCAGGGTTTCAGCAGCGTGAGGGGTGAGGTAGTGCCGTAGTCTGGCGATATTCCGGAGGTGATGGAAGGCGGTGCCAGTTGTGGTGCGGATGTGAGGGAGAAAGGACAGCTCAGGGTCGAACAAAACGCCGAGGTTCCTGACTGGCTTTGAGAGGTGGAGAGTGCAGCCTTGGATGCTGATGGTGTCAGCGCCTGAGGTGCGGAGGCGCTGACGTGAGCCAATCAGGAGGGCCTCGGTTTTTCGCACGTTGAGCTGAAGAAAGGTGTCTCTCGTCCAGGACTCGATGTCGGACAGGCAGGCTGTCAGGACACCGGTGGTCGTGGAGTTGAGAGTAGAGGAGGAAAGGTAGAGTGGGGTGTCATCCGCATACATGTGGAAGTTAACCCCATGTTTGCGGATGATGTCACCGAGGGGGAGCATATAGAGGGTGAAGAGGAGGGGACCGAGGACAGAGCCCTGAGGGACACCACATGAGACAGTACGGGGGGTGGAGGAGAAGCCATTCGTTGAGACGAAGTGAAGACGGTGGGAAAGGTAAGAGCTAAACCATTCAAGGACAGTGCCTGGTAAAATTACACTGGACAGGTGTCCCAAAATTCTGGAATCCCTCCACCTTGCCCCCACTTTTCTCTTCTCACCATCCCTGCCCCACCCACCATGCTCCACTGTCACGAGTTCTGGGATGCTACCCTGAGTGAGGAGTGTTGTGTAAATACAAGTTGGGGTCATTATTATTGTCTAAATTGGCGCTCATTGATTGAGCTTTATACTACACGTTGCCCGCCTTCTATCAGACATTTTCAGTTAATGCATCGTGACTGATATTTATTCTTTAGACAAGAGGTCAACATCTTCAGTCCATTAAATGAGCCACTCTCCATCATTACAAGCATCACATAGAAAATAACTTTCCACTGACTCACAGAAGCTGAATCAACACAATAATGTACTTTGCGCAACTAGGCAATCATGTGTGAATGAAAATTCATGAACTTCACACTCAGGCTACAACATGCTTTCCGACAGCTAATCTGAAATGAGTTACTAGTAGTTTTGTGATGTGTTTTTGCATCCATGAGCAGCTAGATTCAGGCAGCCCAAATTAATTTCATGTTGAGGAAAAAAAAGGGACATCCTGACCAGGGAAATAATGAATTGAATCCTCACCCATAGAAGCGTGATTCAAATTAATTTTAGGTTGGAAACAGGAGACATTTGAGCCTGCACAGAGAGGTCTAAGAACAGTGAAATTGTGCTGTCTCGTCTGTCAAATAACTTAAACATGTTTCTCTCATTCTCCTGAAGATCAGCAAGTAGTCTATCAATAAGTAAATAAATATTTAAAGGAACTGAGTTTGCACATTTAGACCTTCGCACACTTTTTAACTCAAACACCTTTGGCGCTTTCAATCATTGTAAGTAGCTTTTTTATTTAGATATAAAAACAAGACCCTTCTGGAGGTCAGATGTGGGACTTAACGGTCTGTCTCAGCTCCTGTACGTACAACCAGGGAAATTAGGTCAGAACTGGAGGAGTGAGGGAATGCACAGCTGTGGCTCTCATCGCTGGCTGATCTCCAAGTTGGATAGTCTGGCATAATGGGCAGATACTGCTCACTTTCTTTTAGATTGGAACAGATTACATTTATAAATTTCTTGATTAAGTTTACTATTACTGACTACTTCACTTTCAAAGTGAAATGTTGGCAGAGGCAACTATCCACACACTTACCTTATTCTGAACAGCGTAAGCCAGTAATTTAACCCATTAAACAATGCACCAAGAATACCACCTGAAGTACAGAATAATAGATTAAAATTCTTATGAATTATTAACAACTACAACAACAAAATGACATTTGTATAGCGTCTTTCATGTCGGGAGGACGTACCAAGGCGCTGGACAATCAGTGTTTCGGACCCAAGCTGGGGGTTGGGATCGGGGAGGGTGGAGGGCAGGGGAGGAAAAAGAGTGATCGAAGGCATGGTCGAAGAGGAAGGTCTTGAGAAAGGTCTAGAAGGAGGCAAAGGAGGGGGCGAGGCGGAGGGACTGTGAGATGGAGTTCCAGAGGGTGGGGGCAGAGTGGCAGAAGGCCCGCCCGCCAATGGTGGGGTGGGCAAGGCGGGGGACGTGAAGCAGGCCAGAGCCTGCTGAGGGGAGGGAGCGGGCAGGTTGTTGGGGGTTAGGAGGTTGCAGAGGTAGGGGGGAGCAAGGCCATGATGTCTTTGAAGATGAGGACCAGGATCTTGAACTGTATCCTGTGTGATGGGAAGCCAGTGGAGTTGGGCAAGGATGGAGGTGATAGGGTCACGGAGGCTGGTGCGGGAGAGAACACGGGTTGCAGAGTTCTGGATGACCTGCAGCCTATGGAGAGAGAAGTTGGGGAGGCCGACAAGGAGTGAGTTCACAAAGTCAAGCCTAGATGTTATGAATGTGCGTATGAGGGTTTTGGTGGCCTAAGGTGTGAGACAGTGGCAGAGCCGGCCAATGTTGTGGAGGTGGGGGAAGGCAGAGTGGATCATGGCACAGATGTGGGCAGAAAGGATAGTTGAGGGTCAAACAAGACACCAGGGTTCCGGACTGGCTCAGTGAGGTAGTGTGCACATCCTTGGATGGTGATGCTGTCAGAGCCTGAGGTGTGGAGGCGCTGACAGGAGCCAATCAGGAGAGCCTCGGTCTTGTTGACGTTCAACTGAAGGAAGTTAGCTCTCATCCAGGACTTGATGTCTGACAGACATTCTGTCAGGACAGCAGTGGTCCTGGAATCAAGGGTGGAGGCAGAGGTAGAATTGGGTGTCATCCGCATACATATGGAAGTTGACCCTATGTCTGTGAATGTTGTCACCAAGAGGGAGCATATAGATATTAAAGAGGAGGGGATCAAGGACAGAGCCCTGAGGAATGCCACACAAGACATTGCGGGGGATAGAGGAGAAAATGTTTGTAGAGATGAAGTGTAGGCGGTGTGTGAGGTAGGATCTGAACCATGAAGGTTGAGGTGAGAGGAGAAGTGGCGGAGGAGGATAGAGAAGTCAACGGTATCGAAGGCAGCGAAGAGGTCAAGGAGAACGAGGAGGCAGAGGGAGCCGTGGTCACAGATGGACAAAATGTCATTTGTCACTTTGACCAAAGCTGTTTCTGTGATATTTTCAAGCAAGAGTTCCTAAAAAGACTCCCACATAGATGTTTTTAATGCAGTAATAATAATCCTTTCTTTTTGATATTGTGCTTTTCAGGTCAAGAGGACAGATCAAATCCTTCACAGGATTTACTATGAAGTCTAGTGACTGTATTTTGTAGATGCACTGTTTATCTAAAATAGAAAAATGTCCTTCTAAAGTACTCTTCCCACAAACGAGAACCCATGGCTCATTTCTCTCAATGTTCAGTGTGAGAAAGACCACAAGGAATGCTATTCACTTAAGATGAGATGAAGTGTTAATAGCCCTATGATCTTTGCCACTTCCATTCGACAGAAAGATGAACCTAAGCTTTAGTTTATTTTAACTTCCCTCTTCCATTGCAAGCATTGACTTGAGAGTTTAAGCAATGGCCAGGTCATCTCAAACCACAACAACTTTATTTGCACTTCACCTTTTCGGTTTGATATTCTATAAGAGTACTCCCGTGTTACCTCCAATTGATTGCAATTTTACAGCACTACTGCAAAGCTTCAAAAATGTTGACAAGTTAATACTTTTGTTGATTTTACAATCATCATAATTTTGCACTAGAAGATAAGTTAATACGTACCAATTACACCCATGCATATAAATATGGGGATTTCATACCAATTATATTGGATAGCCTGTTAAAAAAAACAAAAAATACAGTTGCTGACAAGACAAAGACCTTTGCAAAGTGGGAGTTAGGAAACAAGTTTGGAGAAACAAATCAAGAGCATTAATATCTTCCAGATACATTATTTAAATCTTAGTGATACTGCAGGAGCCTAAAAAAAATCAGATGCTTTCAGCACCTGCCCAAGGTGTGTTGAAGAAAAATCAAAGTAATTCTATAAGAACAAAACACAGATTCACAGGGTTCTACCCCAAGAATTCACAGCTTCGTACCAGCAAAGTTTCCATTACACAAAGCTGGGTGCTAAAAGTTTTATGGAATCATCTTCCGGTATGTATATTTTGGGGGATTAGCCGGGTGTCTGACACACGCGGAAGATTATCCAAACCAAGTTGAGATTTCCATAATCAATCATTATTTGATTTTCTTACCTCACTTTGAAACTGCCCAAAGTTGATGAGACCTGGGTTGGACAGGTCACCAGGTTTGCCACGGTAGGCACTCAGCACAAAGTTTAAAGTAAATGTTGAAATCATTGAAGCAAAGAACTGCAAGGAAGAATTATGCCAAAAGTCAAACTCAATCTTAAAACAGATTCCTGTTAAGTGCTTCCTCTCACACTATTCTTCACTGTTTAACGCATCGTCTCCACCTGCAGGTTTTTAAAAATAACCAAAAGTCCCCTGCTTTACAGAAACATATCAAAATTGTTGCTCATTCTTTCTTCCATTTCAGTTCAACCTTCATAGAAGGGAGCAGACCCACTAAGGGATATAGGGTACTGTAACTAAGATAATGCTGGGTTGGGATACCTCTCGATCAGTATCACCACAAACATTTTTTTTAAAAAAACAGATGTTATGCACCAACAAGCTGTTCTCAAGCCAAATCCCTATGGCATACTGGAGGAGAAGAGTGGCAATGAAAGTCAAGGTTCCACTACTGGAGTAATAAAATGATCGACTTCCTGAAAACTGACAACATTTTTGTTTCAGATTAAATGTATTGTCCCCCCATGTATTATTCCCTGCGTATCTCTGTCAGATGGCCTGCAAGCTGATCAACTAGCACTGCTTCACTTACACAACTTTAAAATCAAAACAGTAAACTTGTTTGTTATCCTGATTGGGATTTAAGTGATCAACAATTGATATGTTCAAGAATCATTTTCACCCAAAATCTTTTCAACTTCACATACACCGTGTGTTTCCTTGAACATTGCTTATTGCTTTTGTCTCTGAACTTTTAAAATTGGGATTCACCACAAATAGGTTTGTCGATTTATCAACTGCAACTTCAAAAGGTTCATTCACGTCCCAACAATCAAATGGTTCGCTTTCAATGATCTGTACTTACAATACGCCAAGTGAGCATCTGATTCCAGAATGAAGCTCCTTCTTCCAAGCTGAAAAGAACACCCCCTGTAAGATAAGCAAGTTATATTCACAGCAAGTGCAACCCCAGTAAGCCACAACACAGCTCTGCATATTGTCAATGAAGGTCATATTGATCCACATATCATGATAAAATTAAAGTCAGAGTAATTTTATTCCCAAGTATAAAATGGTCAATTTTCAAGCCCCTGCCTGAAACCTTTCGCATTATCTTGTGAGCAAGGCTTAGCTACAAATATTTTTGCTTGAGCGTCTGTGAATCACATTGTTGCTTACCTACAGGGGCACCAAAAGCAGCAGAAACTCCAGCTGCCGCTCCTGCGGACACAAAATCCCTCTTTTCGGTGTCCCTGCGAAAATACTCAAATATCTGAAACACAGAATCACAAGAGGGTGATGAAACCACTTCTAAAGTTTAACTATTCTCTACGTGAAACAGCAATAAGAAAAAACACTTCCAGTCTTGACATTGTTTGGCTTGTTCGTCTTGAATTCATTGATATCATCCTGTAATTTATTGTATGTGTGTGTAGCTCGATTTAGAGGGAAGTCTCTTAAACAGTTCCATAAGTATAAATGTCAATGGTCGACAACTGATGTTTCTTTGGTCATGTTAGTGAACTACGAAAAGTGGACCCTCAAAATGATCCACATTTTTATTTCATGCATAAACTTTAACAATGCTTAATAATGAAGCAGTCCTTGCAACAACAACTGGCATTTATATAGTGCCCCTCACGCAGAGTAGCGTCCCAGAGCACTTTAACATATCCATGACAGACACGGAAGGATTATAAATAGGCAGCAACGATATTAAAACCAACCTTGAAATCTTTCTTTAGGGTTGAGGTCCTGCCTTGAGAAATACCAGCCGCAATGACCGCACCAGAATGGATCATAGGACCTTCCTGAAGGACCAAATGAACAACATGAACACACAACGCATTAAACTGGCCGTTAAGCAACAAAACTAACTGAATTCAGTTGCTGAGGTTATTCAGAAGATCTAAGTGTAATTGAATTCAGTTTTTGGCTCAGCAGCCAAGACTTTACTTGAGATAAAACAAGTTGCCTTTGATGTCACATCATACATTTGCGACCATCATACGGCTGCCAATTTTGGAGCGTCTACAATACTAAAATATAGGGTAGAGGGAAGAAATGGCTCATGTTTCTGCTAGTTAAGTTTCACTTCTTTTACAGCAACAACAATTTGCATTTATATAGCGCCCTTCACGCGGGGTAGCGTCCCGGAGCGTTTGACAGTGGTGGTGTCTGTCAACGAGCCAGGGGGAGAGGCAGTAGAATATTTCTGTTGCACCTTACCTTCCCGACTGCCAGTCCACCAACCACAGAGAAGAGCACCCCAAATACTTTCACCGCCAGAGTCTGCAAGATAAAAACAGTAACACTAAAGGCAAAATGCATAGGACACAATCAATAATAATAACAACAACTGCACAACTACTGCATAAACCATTATCTAGGAGAAACTACATAAGATTTTCTTGACATACCGTATTTTAAGTGAGGCTATGAGTTTTTGTTTTTACAGGTGAAATGCACCTTTCATAACCGAAAAGCTGTACTTCCCAACTTCAATTATTTGGGTTCAGATTCAAAAGCTTTTTTCTGTTTAAAAGTAGATTTTGATTAAACGTATTGCTTACTTTAAGACGAACCACATGTGGCACCTTCACTCCATTGAGGTAGCATTTGATCTGGGGAATTCCACTGCCAGCAGCTGCAGGCTAAAGCAAAACATTACTAACTCACGACAGCCACACAGACCAGCTTCAAGATTATTGATCAGTCAAAATTGTTTAGCTTGATTTTACTCCCATTTTTACAGCATAATACATTCAGCACCACAATGACGGTTTTACAGTAATGCCGTGCACACCCAACAGACACAAAGTGCATTTCATACATCAGTGTCACACTACCCCATTGATTCTATAAGCCCTTTCTGCAATTTTCTTTTCAGGATAATAATAATAATAATCAATGCAACCCACACTTCGAACAAATTAGTTTATGGTGCACAAATCACAAAATTTACTGTGCAAAACAATATAAAGTTCCATTTAACTCAAGGTAAGGATTATGCCTGTCATTTACTTAAATGAATAGAAATCCAGAATGGCTGTTAATACATTACTTTAAAATTGCTACAATGGTTATATTGACAAGACAATCTGTTGGCAAGAAAGTAACTTACAACGCTTTTGCAAAAAATCTAAATAACCAGTGGCACACTTCAAAGTCGTATTTAAGCATAACATTTTATAGCGCACACTTTCTAACAAAAACAGAATGCGCACAGCAAGAGAGATCTCAGTACCTCTATAAATGCAACCATAAAAGAACCAAACATCACAAAGGCAGCATTCAGTGCTGCCCAGAGCACCAGTGAGATAGATAATCCACCTCCTTCTGTGGATTTATCAATATCTATACAGCAATTAAGGAAAATCAACTATTACATACATCTGCCAAAAGATTTAAATACAAATATTAAACACAAAAGCCCTGAAAACAGGAGAAATTTGTAATAATATACACATTGTAAAGTGCTGGTAAGCTGCACATACCACAGTACCAATCTAAATAAAAGTAAATAAATAATCGAATAATGAAAAACACCAGTTAACATTAGAGACCTTCATAAGTTGTAACTATTTCTCAGTTCTTGGAACATGTAAAAGGATACTTTCTTTGATGACTTTGTACTTTATACCTGCAACGATTTCTATAACAATATCAATGAAACAGGCAATGAGTCCAGTAAAGATTCCAATAAAGCAACATACCACCCATCGATTGATTTCAAGTACATCAAAGCCCTGTATGAAAATAAAATTAAAAAATAATTAATATTCAGGATGTGAAAAACAACCAAGGCAATGTAAAGAATGGCATAAACAGCCAAAGAACACCTATATTTCTTAAAAACAAATTCATTTGTTGAAATTGGACAATACATACCACCAACGGTGACTTTCTAACTCACTGCAAGATGTACTGTATTCCATTAGTGATAGGAAACCCACTCACGCAAACCAATAAACCTCACTGCGTATATGTGGGGGCACAGGGCTGAGAGTGTACACTCATTGAAAGTGAACATACCACAACTGACAAGAATAAGTATATTTCACTACCCCTTGGTATAATGTTTCCAGTTAGCCACTGCATATCCAAATGTTAGCATCTGAGTGTTCAACAGGCTAAATAGGTTAGCCACCTATCCAGCATTTGATGCGCAATTTCGGTTTTATAATGAGATAATATAAATGAAGTCTTGTTCACCCTCTGCTGAGACAGAAATTCAGAGTATCCCCCGAAAATGAATGAAGTGTCCTCTGAGCTGGCTGTTGGTATTTGATTTTAAGGAGTATTTGTCAAGTCAATACAGCAGTTAACTGAAGTAAGCACTATGTATAGCAGCACTAACCATTTTGCTCGTCTTCCTCTCCTCTTCCATAAATAGTTGATTTTCACTATTATCATAGTCAAGACTCTGGAAAACAGTTTAAAACGATAATGTAATAAAATCTGTTCTCAGTGACACATTTTAATAATGGTTTGAAACAGCCTTAGAAAATTCTGACTCTTAGCTTTTGGGGGGAGTGGAAGACTTCAAACGAGAATTTAAGTTAATAGATCAACACTTTTTTACATAATTTAGATGTGCTAAAAACCTTCAGATTGATACCATCCATGGAGTACTATTGAAATAAACTGAAATTGTTTTATTTAGAGAACAGACATTTCAGATTACAATCACAAAATTGTTGTACGACAAAGGGGTTTAGTGGACACTGCCCAGGTTCCCACCTGAACAATATTCACAAGGGCAATAAGTACCACAGATCAAAGTTCATTGAATAAATGGCCAAGGACAATTTTCCCTATTCCAAACAACAGTAAACAGTTACTAGCAATCTCGGGAAAGAACTTAGGCTTCAGACTTGGGGAAGGTAGTACGATTGACAGATTGTTTGCATTGTTGAGCCTCCAGCCTTGAAATGGAAGTATCCTCAAAATATTGCTGTATCATAATATATTCTAAAACTATTAGATGAGTTTCTAAGAAAAATACCTACCTCATATTTAAGTGAAAGCAATTTTTCATTGTGAGCAATTTCCTTAGCAACACAAATAGGTGGATCACTATCCTAAGGGAAAAACACAGAAAATTAAAAAAAACTATCAGAAGAGTACATTTTCTTAACCTGTGACCTGATGACTAAAGTGGCTCGAGACTCCAAACATTCTCTGCCAAACCAACGGCAGAGGCAAAAACATATTGTTACAGCTTATACTGCTGCTCTGGATTGCACTAGTCCTTCAAAACACTGCACCATGGAATTATACGATGCTGACTCACTTGTGCCTCTTTTCAGAAAGCACACGCATGGTCTCAGCAGAGCTGACAAGGGTTAGTTGGTTCTTGAGCGGAGACCACACCTGCAGAGGGAGAGTCATTTTGAACCACATGACACATCACAATCAGGAGAGGGCAGGAAGAAGGAAAACTGTCTGCTCCTGATCAATGAATAGATGAATCAACAATAATAATCCTTGTATATGATATAGCGCCTGATCACGTTTTGAGACATCTCAAAGCACTTCACAGAATATACTGTAAAGTGAATTGATTGTATGTTTTGTGGAAGAAGCGCGGCACCAATTGCGCACAGCAGTGTCCCACAGACAATCGTGGATTGAAATGACCAATTTTTTTTTGAAGGAATTATTACCCCCGGAAAAGTGATCCATCAATCAACTAACAATCGAGTTCCTACTTGCTGCTAGGTAAACAAAGACGGGTAGAGTAAGGAAACTTGCCCAATATTTCGCCCTGCCGGGAACCGAACCCAGGTCTCTCGCTTGCTCTAACCACTGAGCTACAGGACTTCAATTAATCCTCAGCACACAGTGCTGCCAGCACAAGGGTCCTCAGAATGTTTTAAAAATAATTACCGGGTCTCGTGTAGCATCATCATCCAAATCCACATTGCTCAGCCTTCCGATGAGGAAGAAATTTGCTTGGGGCGACTAGAGAAGGAAATAGAAAGAAAAATCTGATGAGTTGCGGTTAATGGAAACCAAAGCAGAAACATATGACTCCAACACCACCGAAAACAGTGTAGATACGAAGACAGAAGTGCAAACATCAGCAGGACTCAAAACAAACTTTACTAACAATGGTGTTCAGAGTCCCTAAACTGTTGCACAACTTAACAGAGGAACTGTTTGTATAGAATTATAGCTCAGTAACTGCCTGCATGATTAAGTTCATTATAATTTAAAAAGGGGGAAGTCAGGGAAAGGCTGCGTGCAACATTTTTGTTTCTAACAATCCACGAGGGATTAAAATACTTTTCCAATTGGTCTTTTTATTGGGTTCTCATGTAGGTTCACAAAAAACAACTTGGATTTATATAGCGCCCTCCACGCTGGACGGCGTCTCAGAACGCTTCACAGTAATGGATCCCGGGACTGGGAAAAAATGAACCTATGCAATGTTTCTATTTCAAATGTTGATCTATCTGTTATTTTATAACTTTTTCTGTTTTGCTGTTCTCCACAAGTGTCTATTTCTCTATCTGACCAATTCACGTTTGAAAGTTTTTTTCCCCTCACAACAGTATATAATCTTATTTCATTATTTTTGTTCCCTTATGTGCTTGATTTCATAAGCTTTCTCATGCAGAGAGTTTCACCTGGACTTTCTTGCAGATTTAGACAGTTAAACGGTCCACGCAGGATTGTGGAAGGTAGGTATAGATAGTTAGACGAAGGAAGTAAAGACTGAAAATAGCAAGAGTTAAACATTCTTGCAATCCTGGTGTACTATATGGAGGGTTGAGAAAAGGGAAGTGCTCATTTGCAGACACTGTCAAAAGCTTTAAAAGGTCTCATCAATGACAGGTGAATCCACAAAGTGTTCAAGAGCAGCGTTCCGGAGAGGAGTAGCTGGGAATATCTTCAATTGTGGATTGGCTATGCCAAAAGTCGTACTGGTAATCTTGAATTATATCAGCACCTTTCTGATTGAAGACTAATTTTAAGAGCGAGTCCAACACTTATGCTGAAAAGCACAGAATAGGAACCTGAAAGCAAGAGGCATCTCCTTTCTTGAGGATAGAATGAACACAAGCAAAAGAGAAGGAATGATAGGAGAGTTGAAGAGATGACAAAGGACCGAAAATAGATCAGAGATGCATATTGAGGACAATAAGGTTTACAATTGAGAGGTATAATTATTTGAGTCCAGGACCCAGCAGAAACGATGGGGATAATGTTTGAGGGAGATAAATGTGTGGTTTGTCTGAGGCTATTCTGTAAGACACAGATAAAGAGAAGTGATCAGAAGAGCCCAGGCTTGAGGAAACATATGGAAACTAAAAATAAAGACTGGATTTTTTCTCTAGAGAGAGAGAGGGGGATGTCAGTGGGTGGTGGGGGGTGTCAGTGTGTGGGTGGGGGGGGTGTCAGTGGGTGGGGGGGGTGTCAGTGGGTGGGGGGGTGTCAGTGGGTGGGGGGTGTCAGTGGGTGGGGGGGGTGTCAGTGGGTGGGGGGGGTGTCAGTGGGTGGGGGGGGTGTCAGTGGGTGGGTGTGGGGGGGGGGTGTCAGTGGGTGGGTGTGGGGGGAGTGTTAGTGGGTGGGTGTGGGGGGGTGTCAGTGGGTCTGGGGGGGGGTGTCAGTGGGTGGGGGGGTGTCAGTGGTGGGGGGGTGTCAGTGGGTGGGGGGGTGGGGGGTGTCAGTGTGTGGGTGGGTGTGGGGGGGTGTCAGTGTGGGTGGGTGTGGGGGGGGGTGTCAGTGGTGGGTGTGGGTGTGGGGGTGTCAGTGTATGGGTGGGTGTCAGTGGGTGGGTGTGGGGGGGTGTCAGTGTGTGGGGGGGGGTCAGTTGTGGGTGTGGGGGGTGTCAGTGGTGGGTGTTGGGGGGGGTGTCAGTGGTGTCAGTGGTGTGGGGGGTGTCA